GAATTCCTCCTCCAAGCACCGTTCTCCCAGGCACACGGGAGCAAGATTTATAGGAAGGAAGAAACTTCAGGGAAGAAACTTGTTTTGGGGGTTTTTACTCAATTTTTTAGTATACCAGAGGAAGCAGCCACCTGCCACAACATTGTGGAACAACACATGTAGAAAGTGAGTTTATGGAGTGGGAATTCAGCCAATTCAAGGATCAAAACTCAGCACACTGCTCCAAAGCACCTTCTCATGTGTGTCCCCAGGGAAACCCACCTCTCGTGGCTGAGATATGCAGCACACCCAGGCATGAATGCATCCTGATTTGTTAGTCAAAGAGGGGGTCGTGTCTCATCCCTTCATGTGGACACAGCACTCTCACCCTCCCTGATGCAGCACACCCCCAGCCACAGCACAAACATCCCCCCCCAGCACAGCCCAAGCCCTACACAACGCACATGGGGTAACCTTCCTATTCAGACCTGGAAATAGAGCTGTGCTCCTAAAATCTCCCTGCCACAGGGTGAGGCAGAGACCTGGGCTGAGGGATCAAGCAGCTACATGGCCACACAGTAGCGGTACTCAAGGAAGAGTGTGTTGCTCCTGCCAGGAGCACATCTCATCACTCCCATGGGTGCTAAGGAGAGGTGGGCCTGCCCTCTGTCTGCTGCCTGGAGTGTCTGCTCCCAACAGGAGCCTCCTAGAGCCCAGTTAAGGAGACATTAAACACCTTCAGAGCCTCCTGAAACAGCTGATAAGCCCAGGAATACTTTTGAAGGGACCTGGGTGAAGGTGGCTCAAGCCACACAAAGCTAACACATCCCATGCTGGCTCAGCCTGAAGCAGAAGCCACAGAGCCCACCGTCTCCACGAGGCTTTACCATGAAGGGGCTGCCAGGCTGGCTCAGCAGCTTCCAGGTTATTCAGAACTGATCACACACGTGCAAGCCAGGACAGGACCAGGTTTCCTTTACCTGGTTAGATAACCCACCCACTCAGCAAGAAACACACCTCGAAGACAGATTTACTGCTTTAAGAAGGAGGTTAAAAGTCTAAGAGCTGATCAGGTAATACAGGGGTTGATGTCCATCCCCACCCCTGTCCGCTGGGGCATTGCAGAGGACAACAGCATTATGAGAAGGGGTTTATAATGATGCTCTGTTATGTTCCAGGAACCTCTGTGTCAAGCTCCAGTGAATTCATTAATATCACCCATGTTAACATTCAACCTGGTGCATCCTCAGCGACACCCTGAACGTCAGGAAAAGGTCTATTCCAGCCCTGTGCTTTCCATTAGGAAATGTCAGCAAGGAGGTTTGCCAAACAAAACCAGGCAGAGAAATGGAAGAAAAAGCTG